GCCATGAAGGCCAAGGGCCAGGACCCGGCCAAGTTCTTGCAGGATTCCCGCAAGATGTCGATGGACCAGATGAAGAAGGCGGCTTCCGGCATGGGCCTGGACATCCACTTCGACTGGGATGCCGCCCGCTCCGTGGAAGGCTACTACCGAATCAAGGGCTCCACCGAGTTCTGCATTGAGCGTGCCATCGCCTTCGCGCCCTACGCCGACAGCATCTGGATGGAGACCGGCAAGCCTATCCTTGCGCAGGCCACGCAGTTCGCCAAGGAGGTCCGCGCGGCGGTGCCCCACCAGATGCTTGCCTACAACCTGAGCCCGTCCTTCAACTGGGACACCGCCGGCATGACCGATGCACAGATGGAGTCCTTCATTTGGGACCTGGCCAAGCTCGGGTTTTGCTGGCAGTTCATCACCTTGGCTGGCTTCCACTGCGATGCTTTGAGCATCGATCTTTTCGCGAAGGAGTATTCCAAGCGAGGTGCGGCCGCATATGTGCAGATGATCCAGCGCAAGGAGCGTGAGCACAAGGTGGAGACCCTGACCCACCAGAAGTGGAGCGGCTCTGAGATCGTGGATGAGATGGGCAACATCGTCAGCGGCGGACTTTCCTCGACCGGCATCATGTCTGCCGGGGTCACGGAGAAGCAGTTCTGAGCCAACAGTCTTTAGACATCATTCAAGCTTTAGAACTTTAGATCACGTTTCATACCGCGCCGTACGATGTGACGCTGTGACAACTGCGAGGCTGTTTAGGCCAGTCAGCAGCAACTAGCCTGTTGATGGCAGTGGTCGTCTGGCCATAAGGAGGGTCAGCCGCTCCAGCCCCCTTGATTCAGCATTCTCCTGCAAGCATGTAGCTCCAAGAACTACCCGGGAGTTGGTCCGACCGTGCCCAAAGTTTTCGATGCAGCCAGGCCCTTTTTCTTCTCTGAATCTTGTGTGTGTCGCGCTTTTGAACGGCCTCATCTCTCGAGACACAGGCATCACATGGGTGTCAGAAACACAGCACGGACAGAGCTTTGTGCAAAAAGGGTCTTCGCCATCAGTCTTTCATATATGTGGATATATATATATATATATACAAAAAATATATATATATATATATATATATATATATCTCTCTCTCTCTCCCAAGGATTCCCCACCGGTCTCGCTGACGATGCAGACAGAGCTTGCCCGCTGCCCCTGTAGGAGCCAAGATGGCAACCCCCGGTAGGAACCTTGTAATACCTGAGGGCAGCTGTGCCTTAAAATGAAGGTGAAGTAACTTGGCCGAGCTTTTGAAGCGACCCAAAGCACGGAAATCCGATCCATGCTGGCTCAATCAGCCCAAAAGTAAATCTCGCTCCTTCTCCGCTTCTGGCTGCCTCGCAGCTGGGCTTCGTGAGGCTTTAACGGTATCGTTTTAGCCTTGAGTGAGCAAGAATGAGCAACCTCCAGGGAGGGTTTGAGGATTGCTTGCTGTTATGACTACTGTTCGCTATTGGTAGTAGTCTTCTTCTCACTGTCATCAGGCCCCTGATTTAAAGGGACCAGGCATCGTGCTTCCAGGCGTCCAGTCATGGCCAACCGCGTGGCGATCCTTGAGAAGCACGTGCTGGCAAGTGCAGCCTGTCCTTCTGGGGGCTCTTCAGGGGTAGTAGGGTTTCTAATAGGATTTATCATACGGTTCAGGGATTGAGGGTTTAGGTTTAACGTTCAGGGCCCCTGGCGGCGCACCGCAGTCCGTGGTGAGAAAGGGAAAAGGTTCTGGACTAAGTCCTGGCCAGACTTGAGAGTCCAGTGGCAAGAAGGGGTTTAGGGCCGGGGATTGTCCTAAACCCTAAACCCTGTGTGAGAGTCGAAACCCTAAACCCTGGACGGATTTTGTCAGAGGGGCGCTGCATCAGGAGCGCCAGGATTCAGAGATCAAGGCACGCTCGTATAGTCCCGGGTTGAAGGGCCCTAGGGTAGAGAGAGACCGTTAAGGTTGCCAGGGATCGGAGCTTAAGAGGATGCTTCAGAATCTCGGGTGGGTGCCAAGCATTGGGAGGTTTGGGCTTAAGGGCGGTGGATTTGGGACTTCACGGGTGAAACTTCGCAATGGAGGGTGATAGATAGATCCGATCTTGATCTTAGGTCTGTAAGCCTCGAAGCCTAAACCCTGCTGTAAGATGTTTCCTATCACACCTCCTGCAGTAAAGCTCACAGGAGGGCGGGCCAGACCTTCAACAAAATAAGCTCTTCAAATAAACACGCAGATAAACACACAAATAGAGGCGTAGTGTGTGAGTATATACATATATATATATATATATATGTATACATATGTGTGTATATATATATATATACACACACATGTATAGAATATGTTCTGTCTATATGGTGGAAACGGAGCAACAGCAACAGTAGCAGAGTACTTGTGGGAGCAACACAAGACATCAGTCATCGAACGTGCTGAGGATGCCGCCGTCTCCGGTGGCCTCGAGATGCGCGGCGTCGCAAGCGCCGAGGATGCCGACTTCGATGCCCGCGTGGCGGCCATGAAGACCTGGAGACTTAGAGCAGATGGGAGTTTCCGAAAATTAGGGGTACCTTATTTTGGGGTCCTTATATTAAGGATCCTATTATTTAGGGTACTATATTAGGGTCCCCTATTTTCGGAAACCCCCAGATTCGTGTATCTTGCGATAGGGCCTCGAGGAGTTCGCAGGGCCGTTACATGGGTTTCGGATGGCCTGGTCTTGAGGTTCGTGGCCGAGTGGAGGCTTTGGGTTCAAGTCGCCAGGTGAGAGTGCTTTCGGGGCCCTTTTGGCCGATTAGAAAGATTGAGGGTTCAGACAGAGGTGACCTGGGACCTGGTATTAGAAGGTGTTAGGGGAACCCAAGCACCTGCTTCAATGGCTCTTCCACCCCAAGCCGAACCCCTAAAAGGGCAGACATTCCAGGCTGCTCAGCGAGAAATGGGAGTTTCTGAAAATCAGGGGTACCTTATTTTGGGGTCCTTATAATAAGGATCCTACTATTTAGGGTACTCTATTAGGGTCCCCTAATTTCGGAAACCCCCAAATCGAGCCGGTAGGACAAACCTATAAACCCTAAACCCTAAACCCTAAACCCTAAACCCTAAACCCTAAAATCAGACTTCGGAGCTGAGGATGGGTTCGGAGCGCTTCAAGCACACCACCCGCCCCTACAAGGCAAGGCGTTTACAGCCTTTCGTCGGGGTGGGCCGTGGGCTGAGGGGCTGGAAAGCACAGTGCGAAGTTTCGAAAGGCTCACTTTGACATCAAGTCGATGTCAGAAGCGAATGTAGGACAGATACTCGTATAAACCGGCCCGTAGTGATGTGAGTTCGCCTTTGGTTTTTGAGCCATGTATGTTGTCCCAGCTTCTTCTGAGCGTATTTCACGCCATTGATTTCCGGTGGAGTGACCACCATCTTTCCGAATGCTTCAAGAACCCTAAACCCTGAACCCCTCAGATCGAAAAGGCCACTGCACGTTAAAAAACCTGAAAACCCCCTTCAGGTGGAGGACGTGGTGAAGCTCCAGGGCACCATGCCCATGTACTTCAACGGCGCCAAGGTCTCCGACAAGCTTTACAAGATGCTCAGGGACCACCAGGCAGCTCGGGGTTTTCAGGGTTGCAGCTTCGGCGGTGCATGGGGGCTTAGGCTTTAGGGTTTAGGGGTATTGGGCGCAAGTCGCAGATGCATGGGGCGCGGGAGGAGCTTGCGTCGTAGTCGAGTGGCTCTGCTTGGGCATCAGTGGCACTGTGACGCAGCCTATGTTCCCGTAGTGTTCGTTGCGGTGAGGGAGCTGCATTCACGGCCAGCGTGCAGCTGCTTGTTTCTGCTACTTTCACACGCGTTGTGGAAACTCCACATGTGCAGAATACTGTCGTTTCAGGAGCATCGTGTAAAGCATGATGCTGAGCTTTAGCTTTCGACACAGTTGTACTGAGAGCATGCTTGACCTGCTTTGCTTCAATGTTTAGGTTTTAGGTTAAACTCGTACAGCAAGAGCCTGGGTTCACAAGTCAACTAGTGGTCTTGGCAGTAGCCAGGAGCGCACATGCAGCAAAAAAACCCCTTTTTTCGATATGCTTTTGATCGAGAATCGAGACTCTCTCCGTTGGGAGGCCAAGGGAACCTGCTCCCACACTTTCGGAGCCCTCGACACCGTTCAGGCGGGAGGAGTTTCAGATTGGGACTTGCGATGCTCTACTATCAAGTCTTGTGGCTCTGGCTTGAGTGTAAAGGCCAGACTGATATTACGAAGATTCGAGCCTATGTTTGGTGTGAGGTGACGGGTTGGAGGCATGGGTGCGCCGGCGGCAGGTCGAGTCGAGGGACGGTCATCTCTGCCACTCACGGTCCCAGGTCAAAGACACTGATTCCCTCAACTCTTGCGAGTGGCAAAAGCCGGCACAACCGCCCTAAACCCGAAACCCTCGTAGTGGCTGCCGTTTTCCCATTGACGACTGCGAACCGTTCACCTCATCTGGCGACTCCGAGCGGTTGCGCAAAACCTAGACACCTCGCCCGGCATGTCTAAGTTGATCACGTCGAGAGACCTACCCATAGTCTCCATTGTAGTTCCTTTTTTTGGTTTAACCAATAACACAATAAGGATTTTATAAGGTATCCCCAAAAAGGAACTACAATGGAGATTATAGGTAGTGTTAGTGTTAGCACAAGAAAGGCCTCAGATAGGAGACCCTGTCACAGGTGACGCAGATGGCCAAGTACCTGACCTCGGTGTACGTCAGTGGATGGCAGTGCCCTGGTATCGAGCCATGTGGCACTTTCTATAAATATTGAGCTAGCCAGAGCTTCGCCAGGCAGAACCGAAATCTCGTTGCATCCTGCCGAGCCTGACAGTCGCAGTCCAAAGCTGGTAACCCCAAAAAGCCCAGCGCCCTGAACCCACAAGTCAACCCTACGGACATGTCGAGTGTATACGTTTCAAAAGCCCTGCACCCTACACCCTGAACCGCAGCCGTGCAGGTGCTCTTCCACGGCCTCTACCTCTAACGAGCCCGGCCCGGACGTGGCAGACTACCCCTACGACACCGTGCCCAACAAGGCCTAAGCCTCAGCCTGCAGTTGTCTGCGAACCACGGGGGGCTGCATCCATTGAACCGTCTCTCATTTTCCCAACTCCCCTCCCCTCCCCCCTCAGAAGGATTGGAGTGCCAGACAGCTGCCAGACCCCACAGTCATCTTGATTGTAGGGAATGAGAATGAAGCCGAAGCTCGGGTAGGCAGTACCCTTATAATAAACCCTGAACCTAAACGCCCACCCTATCACCGAACCGAGATTTTTGAACCTGAACTCCAGGCCCCAGCACTCAAATGCCTGACACCGAAAGCCCCCCACTATCATCCTATACTCCCACGAATCATGCTACATACAATATACCCGAATCCCCACTCGCCAGCGGAATCCGCCAATAAAGAGCGCCCTAAACCTTAGAGCAACCCTTCAGATGTCCGAAAACAAAACCCCAAGGCACTAACTATCCCCTAACCTGTAGCGTAGTCCTGTGGTGAGTCTGCGCATCGATGAACCTCGCCTGGCAGTGTCCGAGCTGCGAGAGCGTACAGCACTACACAGACACTCGACATGGGAGTTTCCGAAAACAAGGGGTACCTTATTTTGGGGTCCTGATAATAAGGATCCTACTATATTTAGGGTACTATATTAGGGTCCCCTGTTTTCGGAAACACCCACATTATTGCCAGGTGGACCAGCTCTTCCGTGCCCAGCTCTTCCATGACCGCAAGCAGCAGCCTGGCAACGGACAGTTCTCCGTAGGTTTCTTCAGGTTTTTGTAGCTTGCGACAGATGGTTCTACTTTTTCTGCAAAGTTTCCGAGCTTTCAGGATTCCGGGATCCAGAAGGGCATTCTAAGCCCCCGGCCGCAAGAACTCGCGAAGGCTTTGTTTCGGGAGGAGTCTAAGGGTTCAGTCTTGGCATGTGGAGCTTAGGATGTTTTAGGATTCCGAGTTTGGGGGACTCAAGCCTCCGTTGTTTCGATGTGGAGAGTGGCTCTGAGGGGCTCTTGCTTGTCGTCTGAGGTACGAGGAGCGCAGGCGCATGTCCTCCGACGAGCGCTCAAAGGCGCCCGTTGTCGAGCCCCGGCGTCGGAGTTGGTGTTGGTGTTCTGTGTTGTTTAACCGAATTCGCAGGCGCTCAGGGCAGGCCGTATGGCCGTGATCCTTGCATGTGATGCTAACACATCCGAGGACTACATGAACCCCATCATCGCGGATGCGGACACCGGCCATGGCGGCATCACCGCCACCATGAAGCTTGCGAAGATGTTCATCGAGAACGGTGCCGCAGGCATCCACATCGAGGAGCCGGGGAGGGAAGTTTAGATCATTCGGTTACTTGGAGGATCATGGGACTTAGTAAATAAGGTTATATGTCCCTTAATTGGGTTACAAGTATAGTTACCCTAATTATAGCCCTACTTACTAAGTCCCATGATCCTTTAAGTAATCATGTGTGCTTCGGTCGAGCAGAAGGGCTTCAACTCCGAGCGGTGAACAGCATGAGTCAGATAAACGGCTCATTCACAAGAGCGAGAGAGTTGTACGTCCGAAGACGTGAGGGAAGGCTATCAGAGGCTGCCAACCCAATTCCCGAAGCCTTCAACCCTTTGCTAGCATCCGTCAATACTAAGAACCAAAGCTCAAATCCCTTCCGATGCTCTGGCCCGACTTGATTTGTGATGAGCTCTTGGGAGGCGTCATGGTGCTCTCCGGAACCCAAGCCTCGAAGCGGAAGACAAGACCGGAACCCCAAACCAAGTGCTTTGCGGTTTCAAGAATGCCATATAAACTTCGTGCATCCTAACTTAACGTGCACCCTTCTGCACGTCACCAGTAGGATTCCTAAAAGCCTTCAGTTCGCTTGTATCGAGCCTTACATCATGAACTGCAAAAGGAAATCACAAGGGCCCTCACGGTCCAAAGCCGAAAGCCCAAAACACCAGCCCTGACTCCAAACCCTCAAACTCCACAGCCCAACAACTCTAAACTCTCCAAGTCCGAGATTTGGTTCTCTACAGCTCTAAGTCCTCCACCCAAATCCTTAGACTTAGATGTGACTTAGACCTTTCTCTACTCCCCAAAAAGTCTCCAAGAATCGGCCTGCCGAGCCATGTTCGCTCTTCCCTCGCCCTCCTTGGCCTTGGGCCTTGCCCTGCGGCGCCACGCTTCCGTGGCTTCGGCCCTGGCCGCGATAAGGGCGAGAGCGGCGGCCAGAGGGGCGAGGCCTTAGCCTGCAAAGAAAAGAAGAGTCTTGCTTTATAGTCCGGTCCGGAAAAAATATATTTCAGGTATATTAGGATAATGCATGAAAGCCCTGCATAAGCCCTAAACCCACGCCCTAGACCCTGTAAGCCCAAAACAGGGGGCCTAAACTCTAAACCCTCAACCTTCTCTNNCGTGCGAGTGTGTGAGTCGAAATCCTCAAAACCTGAATGCCAAGCCCAAGAAGCCATATACCCTCCCTGATCAGGTCATTCGGAGGAGCGCTGGATGCCGGAGTCTCGAAGCCCGCGATGCGCTGGTCTCCCCGGGCCCCGTCTGAGGAGCAGAGCTTCCGTGAGCATTACTGGGACGAAGAGAACGTACTGCACCTGTTCAGCATTCAAAGTGTGGGTCGACCCAACTTGGCCACTGATGCCTGCGTTGTGTTGGAGTGTTGGTATGTATGTAGTACAGGCTTTCGCGACATTACCACCGCCACCGCCGTCATTATTATTTTGGGTAGTGTGTGGCCAAGCATCGGACGCCCACAGCTTGTTCCGACTTAGTTAGCATTCGAGCTCCTGCGGAGTGCAGGTACCTCTACGCCATCCAGCGCGTGCAGCTGCGGCCCCAGGTCAAGGAGACCTGGGGCTGAAAATGCAGCTGCAGTTGGAAGAGATTGGTGCATGTTATGGGTAGGTAGAGATAGACGGATGGACTTCCCAGTAGACCCTATAGATATGAAAGCCCCTATAGCCCCTCAAAGATATGCATGGAGTGTCAGAACTCACAGGAGGAGGCGAGGCTACGAGCTGGGCGTCAGCAGGTGGACATCACCTGGCAGCTCCCGGGCCAGCAGCGGAGCGGCTCCGGGATGGCAAGCAGCAAGAAGGCGGAGGGGCCCCCTGGTAACAGAAGAAACTATAGGCTCGCTTGTGTTTAAGTCTAGCTGTAGGTTTTCGATGATTTTCGTGTAGCTTCGCCGCTTTGAAGCGTGACGCTTGAATGCGGTTATTTGTCACCGATGTTGTGGCAGGCGGCACGGCGCGAGGCGGCGCGGCGCCTGCTGCAGGGCCTGCCAGTGGGGCCGGAGGCGGAGTTGCAGATGCGGAAGCAGATGCTGCAGGGCCTCCGCTACAAGCTGTCAGCTGAAGTCCTCCAGGACGGTCTGTCGGGCGAGGCGAGCAGCAAGGTGTATCGGGTGGTCTGGCGTGTGCCGCAGCCGCAGGGAAGGCCTCCCCTGGAGCTGTCGGCTTCAGCTGAGGGCGCCTCCCTTGAGGAGGCACAAAAGCAGGCCTGGGAGAGCTTATACCTCCAAGCAGCCGGGCGCAAGTCGCTTCAAGCGAGCGTGGTGCAGGCGACCCAGGAGCAGCGAAACCGAGCGGTGCGGCAGCAGCTGGAGGATGCAGCGCAACAAAGGCGCGAGAGCTTGCAGGCCGGAATGTCCATCCTCAGCTCCGAGGCTGCAGCGGAGCTGGCCATTCGGCACAATGCCATCATCCAGCGCCTGCGGATCCAGGCATTGGACGAGGTGACAACGCACGAGGCTGGCCAACATTGCACGCTGCAATGGGAGTGGCAAGACCCGAGCGGCGAGCAGCGCAGGGCCGTTTCTGTTGGCTTAGGGACCACGAAGCGACAAGCAAAAGGCGAGGCCATCCGGGCCATGTTGGCCCAACACTCCGTCGGTAGCGCCTTGGATCCCGTGGCTCTGAACGCTGCGGGAAACGTCCGCTCCCTGGCACGCAGTGGCGGTGAAAGCGCGAAAGCAGCAGCTTCGGCTGCAGACTTCCTGGCCGCGTGGCCACCGGCCTACTGGAGCCTCTGCTTGCCGGATGCCTGGCAGCTCTGCTTGGCGCAGAGGGACCGGGAAGGTCTAGGAAAGCTCGGGGAGGCTGTGAGGGGCAACCTCGCCGTGCAGGGTTTGGCACCCAAGCTCTGGGAGTCCCTCCTGGATGCCGCGGCTCATGTGGCCTGCGGCAGCACGGCCGTGGAGGCCCTGAAGCTGTTGCGTGGGGCCTCCCTGGATGCGTCCCGCTTCGCGTCTTCCGCACACAAGGACTACTTCGAGCATTTCCGCATGCTGACGGCCCTGGAGAGGGTAGGAGCGAATCAAGCCATGATCGATGAGCTCCGGGCGCAAAGCGGCGTGCCATGCCTGCGAATGCTGCAGCAGAGCTGTGTCCTCCCTTACCTCACTTTGGTTCTCGCCGAGTGGTCCGAGGACCAGGTTGCCATGCTCAGTGGCATGCGAGCTGGGAATGTGGTGCAGCCTAACTTAATAGTCGCAATATAGTGTCTTGTTCAGTATCGCCCCGCAGGTGTACCTCGTAGAAGGAGTTGAGTAGCATCAGCTAGAGGTGCTGTATTGCTCGCATGCTCAGGCAGCATTGTTTCGGTTTGAATAGAGGTCAGTTGCCAGATTTTATGGCTGGGACGCATTGTTCCTGTTGAGGTACCTGAGGCCAACGCTGTCGCAGGGCCGCCTGCAGAGCGAGTCCTCTGGGCACCTGGCCGTGATCACCTCCTTGAGCAAGGACCGAGGCAAGCAGCGCTTGAACCTCCGCTGCGGTACCCTGGGGGAGGACGTGGAGGAGGAGCTTTTCGATGTCTTTGGCTTGGAATCCGAGGTCACGGCGCTGCGCTGCATCCAGGCGGTCTGGGCAGCAGCCGATCCTCACGTTCCAAGGGAGGAGAGAGTGGCGCAGGATGTGCAGCTTTTCCCGGAGATGACACGAATCGTTGTGCAGAGCTTTCGGCCAGAGGGGAGGAAGGCATCGAAAGAGGCAGCGGCCTCAGCACCTCCAGGCTGCCACGATGAGGCGCCTCTTCGTCGCATTGGAAGCATCGTGGACACTGCGGCGAGGCTCGGATGCGATCTGACGGATGCCCAGTTGGAGGCTGTGAGATCCGCCCTGCAACGACGGGTGACGCTGATCCACGGCCCACCGGGCACCGGCAAGACCACAGCTGCCGCCTGTGTGGTCATGGCCTGGAGGTGGCTCGGGGACCGCATACTCTGTGCAGCCGACTCCAACGTTGCGGCAGACAATCTGCACAAGAGCCTTGCAAAGTGGGGGATCAAGGCTTATCGTTTCGCCCCGGCGGAACAGGAGGAGTCGAAGATGACGGCTTACGAGCGCATGTTGTTTGCCCAGGATGCGCTAAATAGCTTTCAGGTTGTGGTGACGACATGTGCCGGTGCTGGGCATAACTTGCTTCAGGGGCAGACGTTTCCGCGCGTCTTGATTGATGAAAGTACGCAGTCGGTGGAGCCCACCACGCTCTTGCCGATGAGTGTTGGGTGTGAGCACCTTGTATTGATCGGTGACCACAGGCAGCTGCCTCCCACAGTCGTTTCAGACGAGGCCAAACGCCTGGGCCTGGACAAATCGCTGTTTGCCCGCTTGGCTGAGGAGGACGAGAGCCAGCCCGAAGTGGATGCTATCGCTCAGCCGGTCCTGCTGAACGAGCAGCGCCGAATGCATCCGAGCATCGCGCGCTTCCCAAATCTCTACTTCTACCGGGGCCTCGTGCATGACAAGGCCCCAGGCCGGGCACCGATCAGAGGTGTCAAGTGGCCGCAGTCCGACGACTTCCGTCTTTGGCTGGTGGACTGCAAGGGCCAAGAAGGCCACTGCGAAGAGCAGCAGGGCACCTCCTGGCGGAATGCAGCTGAGGCGGATGCCGTTGTAAGGTTCCTCAGGCACCTACTAGACCCGAACCAGCGGACCCAATCGGGCCCGGGGTCTGTGGCCATTGAGGAGGTGGTGGTGCTGACGCCCTACCTGCAACAGAAGGAGCTCCTCCAAGGAAGACTGCGAGCCGTACCCGAGCTCAAGGAGGTGCGAGTCTCCACAGTGGACGGCTTCCAGGGAGCAGAGGCCGACCTGGTCGTCTTCTCCGCCGTACGCTCGAACAGGGAGGGCCGGCTCGGTTTCCTCCAGGACACTCGCCGGGCGAACGTCGCCCTGACGCGGGCGCGGCGAGGGCTGGTGGTCTTCGCAGACGCGGAGACGCTGCGACAGGCTGGCGGCTCCATCTGGGCAGAGTGGCTGCGCTTCGTGGAGGCCGAGGAGGCAGTGATTCCCGCAGCCGAGCTTCAAGACATCCTGTTGTGACAGCGGGAAAAGGGGTTTGGCGTGGTTGAGTCACAGCCATCGATTTGGCTGCGGCGCTTCCGCAACCCTCTTGCGAGGCGTTTATTTTTCAGTCAGACTCTGCATTCGACTTTGTAACGACCCATGGCATCCGTGCTTCTGCTGACCGAAATCCTACCACCCGCAACGCAGCATGTTTAATGGCAGGACCAGAAGCCTGGCACCAAGAAGTGCGGCCACATGGGCGGCAAGGTCCTCGTCTCCACGCAGGAGTTGCGGGTCTTTACACTAGTGTGATGGGAGTGGCCAACGAAATTGAAATACAACTTGAGCTGTGCTTTCGGAGATCTTGCAACAAGCGGCCAGGCTTACACGTGCGACGGCTTGGATTGCTCACTTGTTGACTCCCCCCGGCATTTCGCCCTATAGGACCTCCTCAGCCCTGCAGGAACACATTCAGCGTTTGATCGCCATCCGGCTACAGGCCTCTCCTGCTTGCTGCTGCTGATTTCGCATGAGTTTCGAGATAGAGGGATTTCAGGGTGTAAAAGGGTGACCCGTGTGGCTTTCACTGCTCAATGTGGCGAGCTAATCATTCAGTGGGGAGCATTCTTAGCACGGTGTAGCTTTGCATCGGGTCTCGAATGACGCAGTTCGAGCTCTTCCTGCAGAGATGCTGTGGGCTACATGCGTGCACGCTGTGACAAGAAGCCAGTGGCTAGCATCACGTCGCCGGCTGGTCGTGCTGGACTCGTCAAGGTTTCAGCACATAATCGGCAATGAGGGTTGCACTGTCACAAACATTGCATATGCTGGCGATCCTCTCGCCACGTCAGATCCGGCCCATCGTGGATTGAGTTTTGAAACTCTTGCGCGGCGCGTCCTCGAGCGAAAGCATGCCAACCATGGCACTCAAGATGCCGACACATACTCTCTGGGAACATGTATCGATGGTAGACGGCGTAGCCTTAATCAGGCAGAATGGGACTGGGTTTTTATGGGCAGAAGGGTGGAGCTCAAGACTTCCAAGCTGCGCTTTGAGGCGGCGGAAAACCGTTGGAAGGTTGACTTTCACAGGGTGAAGCTTGCCCGAGATGGTTGTCGTCTAGAGCAACCTTTTGATGATCTCTACCTGCTGATTTATGCACCCGATGGGTTCTACTTGGTCAAGCATGACCTAGAGACCGGAGTCTCAAAGGCCGGTGCACTCACCAGAATCAGGGGACACATTATTGCAGTGCGTGGAAACTGCGGGCAGACCCACTGGAAAGAGGCTTTGGAGACCATTCTCGCCAAAATGACGGTGCGCGGCTGTGATCTTTCTGCTTACGTCCCGAAATCTGATCCGCTGGCTCAGGCCCTCTATAGTGAGGTCCTTCACAAAGCCCTGGCTGCCGGGCGTAAATTTTACGAGAATGTTCCTTTGTCTACAGTAAGTTCCGTCATTCGTGCTCAGAGAATCCAGGAGATAGCTTGTGAATTAGATCAGCTTCAACACCCAAACAGTGCTTTCCAAAGTGCTAAGGGTGAGGTGTCACCGAGTGGATACAGGCGGTCAGACAGAAATGCTGCGGTTGACTGGATACGTGATTCAGTCAGAGTGGAAGTCAAAACTTCAAAATTAGCCATCAAGACAAACAGTTGGGTCTGTCAGTTTTGCGGCATTAAAAAGGGCAGCATAGACCATGGAGCGAATACCTACTTTGACGAGCTTTGGCTGGCCATTTATCACCCTGGTGGTATCGACTTCTTCGAACACGAGAAGTGGCAAAAGAGCTTGCAACGCGTTGGGAGACGGACATCTTCTGAAGGCAAAAATCTCGTGGTCTCTGCAGGGACAAAACATCGTGCACCCAGTGCAGCTTTTGAAAGCATCAAGGCAAAGCTTGAGGCACGCGGAGCCGTTCACCGATTTACTGTGCGATGGGCTACCGGATCGAGCTAGCAGATAGGCCTTCGTGGGGCCAACCTCCGGCGGGCAGAAACGTAGCCAAGATCGCAGGCATGCGCTTGCACCAGCGCACGCCTTGTTTGCAGACATGTGGGAGGTATGGGCCATCGAAGCGCCAGACTTGTGCAGACTAGTGAGATCTCAGCATTCCTAGTGCCTCTCGGCTCATGTCTAGCCGCGGCCCGGCACCAGCGAGTGCCCACTTTCTTCAGCCTCAGAAGCGCATCGAATTGAATTTCCAAGTCGCGCAGTCAGCAGCGTAGGGACGTATTTGGTACGGCCAGCATGGGGCCCGGCATTTTTTCAGATTCTATAGCCGAAGCCCCGAACTACGAAATCGCATGCTCAGTGCAGTCCGAAGCCTTCATGCCCGCAGCCATGCGCTAGACTAGACCCAAAGCTTCAAGGCCTTTGTTGAAAGCCTCCGAGCTGTCGTGCTTTGGAGGCGGATGTGCTGAACTCGCCTCTGGTCATAGTGGCACGTACAGATGCCGAGGCTGCCGCCGAGTCATCATGAGCTCTGCGCACGTGTGTTGCTTTAGTCGGGGTTGTGTAGTGCTCGTATTTCGGATCCTGAGTGCCTCATGAAGCCTGGAATATTCCGAAGGTTCCGAAACTCCAAGACTCTTGGACCCTTGACGACTGGGCCTTTTTTCCCACGATCCAGCCAGCGGCAGGCGGCGACCATGATCGACTCCAACATTGAGCCGTGGCTGTTGTTGGTTTCGGTTTGGGGATGTTTCGGGATTCGGTTCAGATTTCGCTTGGAGGGTCTCCCCTTGACATGTCTAAAGCCTCAGTGCGCGGGTCCTCTCAGGTCAAGGCTTCGCGCTGCCCTTGCATAGGCCATCAAGACCAGATTCAGAGAAGCAGGGGTTGGGGGTTTAGGGCGTGGCTTCCGGTTTCCGCTGTATAGACCGCTTCTCAAGAGAGCCAAGTGGTGGTGCAGATAGTTAGGTTTCTGAGGCAGTGCTTGCAGGTTCGAGTGACTGCACAGGGATTACTGCCCAACAAAGCTGCGGCTCCGCTGAGCGGGTTTTAGACCTCTAAAATCTGTTGTGCTTCCTGTTCCTGAGTCATGAGCCAGAGAGCGCACAATCTGCAGGGCCTCAAAAGGTCCTGCGAGCAGGGACAAATTTCTGACAGAGCACGTCATCCCAGGAAGCAGCACGTCTGGATGTGTTCCGTTTCCGGCATCTCGTTGAGAATGCATTGCTTTCAATGGTCAGTCGATCCATCTAAGGATCCGGTCGACCATCCCCACATCAAGGGTGCCACCGTCAAGGGTGTGGAGACCCTCTACGAGGCCATGCGCAAGGGCACCGACAAGGACTGGGAGCAGCGATCCGGCTGCATGACCTTCCCGGATGCCGTTGCCAAGGCCATGAAGGCCAAGGGCCAGGACCC